TTTTTTTTGGAGATGACTAGCATTTGATAGTGAAAAAAATGAAGGTAATTGTAGGATTTCTGCTTTTAATAGTGAAACGAAAGTAGTTGGCAAATTAGTAAGCAGGTTTGCTATCTTGCTTACCAAATACTGCTGAGACTAGCTATAAGCCTAAATTATTTTCACTCCTATAGGTGCACATATCAAAAACACATGAGTTGCATTCTACCTTAATGTTCCCAGTGTAATCTTCACTATTTAATACAGTTGCTGGGTTGCTCGATGTGATGTTTGGCAGCCATAATGTCAGACTGAGAAACACATGTGTGTGGCTCAGACACAACACACTGACTACACAAACTTATTTCACCCAATTTTGATGCCACATGCAGCCAAGCAGTATGACAATTTTGCCTCACTTGTTTGTCTCTAGCATAAGCAGGTTAGTGTCAATCGCATATACAAACCTTCCACATCGTCCTCTTCAGCAGAACTTGCACCTTTCTCTTGTAAATCAATTTCTTTAAACCAAGTTGGTTCCCAGTATTCTTCCACCGAGTGAACATCATCATCTGATAGATTCTCCTGTCTGGCAGTCTAGACAATTTAAGGTAGAAGCCTAGTCATAATTTTTGACAAAATTGGTCATAAATTGCATGACAATGTTCATTAGTTTATTATGTACAATCATGAAGCTAATGTCTCATGGTACAATGAAATACATTAGCATTATTTTGTGTGTTACAGTTATGCTTTTTGAGAAATGTGTCCTAATATTTCCTGAAAATTGCTATTTTTAGAACAATTCTATAGAACACAATGTTAAAGAAAAATTGCATTTTTTGACACTTCTCGAAACCCGGCTTTTTTAAATAATTCAGAACAACAAAAAGTACTCTATCATTAACAATATATGATTTTTTCAGCCTATGTCACCAGGCTAGATTTTGAGAAATTGCATAAATCTCTGCCATAGGAACCTGTGGTAAAAGTGTTATAATAGTGTCAAAATGATGACTTTCCACAAAAATACAACCATCAATTTCCCGAAAAAAAGGCTGGTGACCCCCATCTTTTTTCAGGTCAATATCCTTATATTGCCTTGGAGTACAATTTATTAGCAAAATTGATTAAATTCTGGGTTTTTTATTTGATGAGTAGGCTTCTATTTTAAAACAGTCAGTTGTATCATACAAACCGGTGACTGGTTTTATAACATAAAACATCTGGAATAGTTTATGTACATCAACAAGGAGGACCAAAACACAGATGTGGGTGTGTTATAGACTGTGCATATTATCATGTCAAGCATCCTTGTAGTAGTTTCTCAATTACAACCACAAAATTAACTTGAGTATGGTATGCCTAAGATTTCCAACAAAAGTTATTCATCACAAAGTTAGCCTGAGTAGGCATTTTCTTATTTTTTGTTTATGTTTTTCAATTTGCTAAAACATTGGTAAAGAAATTATAAAATAAATATATATGGTATATAAAAAAGTGTAAAATTTTAATACTAAAATTTTGGCATTTAGAGCGGTGTCACCAAAATATGAATGGAACTTACAGCATTTTCTCGTAATACTAGTAACATGCTTCATCGAAAAAACAAAGTAAGTTACCTTTCCTGGTCTATAGAGGGCATACTCATCACTATATATCAGATCTGTTCCTAGGACACTTTCTAACCAGTTGGCATCTATCAGTGCCTGCCCAATAGCAATCCCTTGGTACCTGGAATAGAAAAGTGGTAAAAGAAATTATCAAATGCATCATGCAAACTCAATGTGATAGGAATACACGATATACATTGTTCTTGTATGCAAATGAGATGAAACACCAATTACAATAAGTTCTGTTGATAAAATTACTGTGAAACAGATACCATGTGACAGATAGAATGAAATAATTTAATTGTTTGTAATCTGCATCAAATTAAACTGGTGTTATAATGTTCATATGTTCCTAGAATTGGGTTGATCACACCAACTAAACAATGGAAAGGCCCTCTTAGAGTAGAAGCCACTAGCAAGTTTTTTACATGTGCGCATATTTTAGTGTATATATTTTGTGTCAAAATTATTCGTGTTAGTATGACAACTTTTTGGTTTACTGACTATCAATTTTTTTTGAAAACCTTAAAATAATGAGCATAAAATTTGCATAAAACGGTGACCCTATATTTTTTTTCCATTTACTTCATCCTCAGGACATCAAATATGTGAAAATGTAGAAAATGACAATATTTTTACTTATTTGTAGCATTCTACCTTGAACAGATGGGCTGTCAAATTGAATATATGCAGAGTACATCAATACCAACCTGTTTGCTGCTTTATCTGTACTAATTAACCAATCCACTAACTCACTGCCTATAATACAGTTGACGTAAGTTCTCAATCGATATCGATGACTCTGGAATTCTATGCCGTTAGTGGGGTTCTGAATTTGCAACCATATATCACGTAGTTGTGCCGAGTCCTAGTAAACAAGGAAAGACAAGTTCACTAGAGTTCATGTATAGACAAGTACGTGGACACTTGATAGAGGCGATGAGTAGAATTGACAAAATTAAAAAAAAAAAATTATAATCTATCCCAAAATTGAAGTAGATTTAACTATACTGGCCCTGAATTACATGATGAGCAGGGGTTGAACTTAATTGCAGGCCACCATTGTGTTACAACATGGCAAAAATAAATCGAAAGTCTTTCAGCAATGAGAAGCGCTGCAGCGAGAGCGGCATTGGTGGTCGAGAGGGCAGAAAGTAGACGACCAATTTGGGCTTATAGCAAGCCATATGGCCGGGGGTCTGCTCATAACAAAACACCTGGATTTGATTTTTTTTTTTAGTCTTTGCACATACGAATGTTTTTTTTTTTTTATATAATTTTGTTTATTTCTACTATATAAAACATTACAAAACTCAAAAAAGAAAAACACAAGGTCACACTAAATTACATAGCTATTTGACGACAGATAAAGAGAAATTAATCTAAAAAAAAAAATAACCAAAACTTGGTATAAGCATATTTAATATTTTCTAATATTAAGAGATATGCACTGTAGATTTTTGAGTTTCAATTTTAATCAACAATCCCTTAGCATACTACATGATAAGTTTACCCAACTGAGAATTTATTCAATTTATAGAATCAGTGAGCATAACTGCATCTGCTGATATGCATAAATATCATTCCTCATTGGAATAAATTTGCATATTATTCATTATGCATAGTTATTTGAAATTGAAATTTCTTCTTAGCACTTGAAATTGGTCATGTGATGAGAAGAATATCACCTGATATCAATTTTGGCATGGGCTGTATTATTGACTCACTTGTATGAACTGGCTCTACTCTATGAGCAGGCAATGCCAGAAGATACATGTAATCACATAGAATACAATGTAGCAGAGAAAGGCTAGAGTAGTGAGTGTGTTTTCAAAGATTATGATTTACAGATTAATGCAAAGATCAGGGCATACCTGCACCAGCATTTTTCTTTCCATGGCCACACTGTGTCTTCCAGTTTTCTTTTGATATTCCGACATTGGTGTGATGACAGCAATCTCAAAGGGGTTTGTTGAAGAGTTTGGTGACTCTATCATACTGGTACTGCTATATGTCCTGTATGTTGAATAAAAGAACATACATGTACATTACAATACAAAATATGCAGTGTATACATGAATTTCTTTCCTGAAATCAATCATACATTTTTAGGCATAAACATTAAATACTATTTTAGAAGAGGATCTCAACCACCAAATCAACATTTTCTAAAATCAACAAATGCTTTTTATTTAAATTCTGAAAGCGTTATTAAAAGTGTTTTTCAAGAAAACTGATTTGTTGTAATTTTTCCTAAAATTCAGAAACAAATTCTAACAAAAAAAGCTTTTATATAATGGATAGTACTTGCCTTGTTCTTGTGAAGTCCTCTTCTTTGAACAGAGAAGATCGCTTTTTTGGGGTGATCAGCTGATCTGCTTCTTCAACTCTGCGTAGGTCTTCTTGTAACGAACGGAAATTACCATCAGCGGAGTGGGCGTAACTCAACACTACTTTACAGCAATACAGGCATACGCGTAAGTTTCCTGGAATAAAAAAATATGTGTACTTGAATATATAATCATCCAATATGATATATGAGAAGGAAATTCACATAAAATTAATTAGTGTTCTCAACAAATTAAATTTTAAAGAAGGTAGCTAATTTGTGTCAATTACTTCACGCATCTAGCCATTGTTTTGTTTATTCTGTGAGTTAATATTCTCCAGATTTTCAATTTATTGTAAAATTAATTTGTAAGTCACTGATTATTTACTCACTATTTCCCACTACGATTACACAAAAAAAGTTTACCAGAGCCCAACAACTCAAGCCAGCAAAAAACACATTTGCCCTATAACAGGCCTGATTTAGTTGGAATTCTAAGTCAAAATAAAATCTCCCAAAATCAAATTGAGTCAGTTTGTTAAACGACTGGCGGAGTGACTGTGTAGTTGATTTGAGACATAAACAAACATGTTTTAGCCCCTGATTTATTTTGTATTTAAACATATTTTGTTTATAAAATATGAACTTCATTTTACTAAATTATAATTTTCCTAACTATAGTAAGATGTTTTTTTAAACTTAAGGTATGATTTTCTATTGCATCAATGATGCGCCAGTTAATTAGGAAATCTAGTTGTAAAAACATGTGTTGAAAGTGAAATTAGACACAAATAAAACTGCATTCTTTGTGGCTGATTGAACTCATTTTCTATTGTTGAAATTTTTACAGATACAAAATGTCGCAAATTTACCAGATTCAAAATTTGCGAAATCAATAATTCACAGAAACACTTACCAGAGTAACCCATAAATTTTCCAGGTACTTCCTGATTGCAGCATCTACTGCAGAATATCTGACCACATACTCTACAATGATGACGTCTTCTGAACGTGGTGAATTTATCACCACAATCGTAGCATTCTTTACAATTACTATCTGGCATCCAGTATTGTTTAAAATCACTCTCACGGTAGATCTGAGAAAACTGTGGAATGAAAGTAATAACAAGGTAAAACCATGGGCGTCTACAAGTCTAATCACTCTCACGGTAGATCTGAGAAAACTGTGGAATCAAAGTAATAACAAGGTAAAACCATGGGCTTCTACAAGTCTAATCACTCTCACGGTAGATCTGAGAAAACTGTGGAATCAAAGTAATAACAAGGTAAAACCATGGGCGTCTACAAGTCTAATCACTCTCACGGTAGATCTGAGAAAACTGTGGAATCAAAGTAATAACAAGGTAAAACCATGGGCTTCTACAAGTCTAATCACTCTCACGGTAGATCTGAGAAAACTGTGGAATCAAAGTCTGTTTCCGTAACCTTCATTAAAAGTGAGTTTTCAGCTTCATACATTCTGTAATTCGGTCGCTAATTAAAATTCATGAGGTTATTAATATTCATGAGCTAATTAATATTCATTTTTCCCATTCTACTGGCTACGATTTAACTACTTTAATTATTTTAACTTTTATTTTAAATATTTCAATGTAAAATTAATCTGATTTGATAAAAGTGAAAAAATATATACTGTGGAATACTTTATTTTCGCTGGAATAAATTTTCACTGGGCGTTTTGCTTGGAATTTATTTTCACTGATTTTTGATGAGTTTAATGTGAAATATAGGAAAAAAAGTATATTCGCTGGATTTTATTTTCACGGAATCATCCCTTCAGCGAAAATAGTGAAAATAAATTCTAAGCGAAAATAAAGTATTCTACAGTATACTTTATTTTCGCAATCACATCTAAAATACGTATTTTGAGACATTGACCTCTGACCTGGCAGCCATTTTTTTTCAAAGCGTGTCGTTCGTTTGTTACAGCCAAAGTGGAAACAAGAATTTAATTGTTTTCTTTTCCAATGGATTGCTGGTAAATCACATTAATAGTAAAAAACTCTAATGATTAAAGTTTACAAGCAGCCTCTTGGCTGAGATAGCTCCCGCTGTTAGCAATGCACATTTCAATTAAAGAATTCAAAATATCATCACAAAATGAACAAATCTGAAAGGTTCACCTATAGTACCTTCATGTATAATATCAAAGCAATCAGACTTGCGGTTTTTAACAAGAAGTCAAAAATATCACTTTTTCCCAAAATGAC